TAGAGAACAGAGTGGAACTGCTCCACAGGGTTTCCAAGGCTGTCAATCTTCACAGAAGCAAAGCCCAAACCACACCCACTGCCTGGAGTCCATTCTGACCCACAGCGCCCCTAGAGGACAGAGTGGAACTGCCCCACAGGGTCTTCAAGGCTGTGATCTTTAGGGAAGCAGACTGCCTCATCTTTCTTCCATTCAAAAACTAGGAATAACTCTCAATAAACTGGAAATGGAAGGCCTATATGATAAAAGGGTACAGAAAAATCTCATAGCTGCTGCACACTCAAGGTGAAAGACCACATGACTTTGCCTGAAATCAGGAGCAAGGGAGAGGTGTCCACCATCCTCAGCAGGACGGCCCAGGCTCCCCAGGCAGAGGGGTATGTGGAGGGACCCAGCCTGGGACAGGGGGCAGGCAGAGGAGGGGACTGCCGTGACAGGCCCCACCATACCTCGTCGGTCTGGGACAGTCGTCCATCAGCCAAGGGCTCCAGCTCTGCGGTGGCCGGGGCAGACAAGATGCTGTGATAGAGACACAGAGGTCAGTCGCTGGGCTGCGACTTGTCACTTTGAAAACATCACCACCTCAGCTGTGTCCAGGCTGAGTCTGTGGGCCGCGAGCAAGGCGGCCATCCACTCCCACCACGTCAGCGAGGCTGGGTGGAGGGCCACGTGACGCTATCCAAGGAGAGAGCGTGTTGGCCACGGCACCTGAGAGTGGTGCAGCCCACAGTCCCCGGGAAAGGAGGGGCCAGGCAATGGGGCCACGGCAGTGGGCTTATAACCTGGGTACCATGAACACCTAGGGCCATCACCCCTGTGGTGGGGCCGTGCAGCGCACTGTAGGACACGGGGCAGTAGTACCCGCCGGGACAACATAAACATCACACTGCCAGTTACTGCTCTTGGGGGCCCAACGACCCCAGTCAAGAGCCCTGGGCGAGACCTGAAGACAGAAGGGACATCTCCAGCGGCAGGTCTGTGTCAGGTTTCAGAAAGCACAGGGCTTTCCTCAACTCAACGAGCTGTGTGAAGGTGCCAGGCACCCAGGCACCCAGTCACCTCGGCAATGGACGGTGTGCCTGACCACTGGGCTTCGGAGGCTGGTGAGGGGAAGAGGGGCCCGGCTGGAGCATGGATCGGCCAGAACACTGGGACAGAGGGGTGACGGGCAACGGAAAGGGGACGTGGCCAAAGCTGGGCAGGAGCGCAGGCTGCAGGTGTGAGTGGGGCGAGGCCAGCGGCTCCGGCCGCGTGCAGAAGTGGCTCACCTGTGCAGGGCACGCAGCTGCAGGCGCTCCAGGCACAGCTGCACGAAGGCCCTCAGGTCCGTCTTGCTGATGCCGCCGATGGGGTTGATGTCCGCGCTGGAGCAGTCATACTTGGTCAGGTAGCCGAGGAGACTGTCGGGAGGAGGACGTGTGGGTCCCCTTCTCTGCTCACGAGGGACTGGCGGCCCCACTTCTCAGAGCCCAGAAGCACATCTGAGTGTCTAAGGGAAGCGGGTGTGGCCGCAGCAGATGAAGACGGGGCTGGGGGCAGGTGCCACGGAGAGAGGTCTGCACGTCAGGGAGGGCGGCAGGGCCAGGCAGGTGGGCGGCAGTGTCTGGTGGGGGCGGCCTGTCTGAAGGCCAAGGCTGGGCCAGGGCAGGCAGGAGCAAAGACAGCAAGCAGTGCAGAGAAGGGGGACGGGGTGGGACCCCCACAAGGAGGGTGCCGGCCGGGGCAGTGAGGGCCACCTTGCCAGGCTGTGACCTCTAACTGTGGTCGACAGAGGATCACCCTAAAGACGTCCACGTCTGGTCCCTGGAACTTGGGACTATGTGTCCTGACATGGCAAAGTCAGACCAGGCCCGTGGTGGCTCTGTGGTAGAGTGCTGGCCTTCCAGGGGGCAGACCGGCGTCCCCTCCTGGCCAGGGCACCTCACGCAGGGCCACCAGCCGGCTGTCGGCAGAGCGTGCGTGCCGCTGTGGTGACGGCAGGTTCAGCAGCCCACTCCCTCTTCCCGACTAAGAGACGAGGAGGAAGGGCTGCCTTTGCTCCGTTGAGGACGGGGGTCCCGAGTCGGGGCAACCGGGCAGCAGCTGACAAGAGTGACACACGGCCAAGGAAGCGGGCCGCCTCTTTCTCCCTGGCACCCCCAGGACACCCTGATACGTGTAATGCCCAGAGCTGCGAGGTACCACCCGTGCTGCCGTGCCTCTCTGTCCCAGCAGCCACGGAGACCTATGCTTCTCTGCCAGCATCCATCTCCCCCAGCCCCCCGCGCCGGCACACCAGACCAGACCACCACATTCTCCCGCTGGACCGTGGGTGCCCGTGATCACGCTCTTCCCGGAAACCCCTCCTGACTCGGGCCTTTCTCGACACTCCCCTTCTCACTCACACACCTGCTTCGTAAACTTTCCTCAAAACCAGCCTGCTTCTCTCCCTCCTCCTCACACCTGGTCTGCCGGAAAAGGCACCTGGGCTGCAGCCCCTGGCTCGATCGACAGCCTGCCCCTCAGCACTGGCTTTTCTCCACGTTCCCAGAGAACAACTTGTCTCTGCCCCACCCCCACTCTCACCAAGACACAACGCTAGGCCTCAGTGTCTCCGTCTGCTGGGCTGACGGACAGCCTCCCGGGCCCTTCACGTCCTGACCACATGCTGCTCTGGGGGTGCAAAGGGTTTGTGCCTGGCAGCTAACCTGAAAGGTGGCAGCTTGATCCTACCTAGAGGGGTCACAGAAGACAGGCCTAACGATGTTTCCCTAATGACACCAGCCAAGGAAACCCTCCGGGACAGCTCTACTGTCACACAGGGGTCACTAGGAGTTGGAATCGACACCATGACAATGGGTTGCGGTTGGGGTTCTGCCTTGCTGTGGGTGACATGGTGACACCAACAGACCCTGTGTGTCACACACACCCTGGCGACGGGGTGACATCAATGGGCCCCATGTATCACACAGACACTGGTGATGGGGTGACACGAACAGGCCCCGTGTATCACACGGACACTGGCGATGGGGTGATGTGGATGGGCCCCATGTATCACACGGACACTGGCGATGGGGTGACGTGGACGGGCCCCGTGTGTCACCCAGACAGTGCATGAACTGGCAGATACCTGCAAACACGGCCTCCTGCAGCCTCGCCCTCAGAGACAGGGAGCCCGTGACCGCATGCCCTGGGCATACACACCTCTCATCCACGTTGGCTGATCCCAGCACAAGAAGCCCCCCGCGGGCGCCCCGGGACCAGAGGCTCAGCTGGGCAAACAGGTAGGCAAGCACCATCCGGATTCGAGCCTGGATGAGGGAGGAAAAGGGCACCTGGGAGGGGCTGTGGGGCCGCACCCCAGCATGCCACCACCCCAGCTCAAGAGAAAGCATCCCCTGCAACTGCGTGAAGGAAAGGAAATGAAAACAGCGTCACAGACATCCTTCTGGGTGGTGGGGCTTCAGGGACTCAAGCAGGCTCAGCAGGACCTGGGCTTCAAAGATGGAGGAAATGGGGCCCAGGTGGGACGGAGGCCAGGGCCAGAGGCCACCTCGGCCACCCCACCTCACTCCCAGAGGAAGGAAGCAAAGGGCACCCACACACGACAGGACACAGGGTTGAGCTCTGGAACCCTGGGCCATCCTCCAACTGGCCAGACCCACTGGGCTGCAGCAGCCAGGAGGGAGTGGGCGTGCTGCACCCTGCAGCGGAAAACACACGCTCGCACATGCGTGCACACACTCACACATTCCTGCACTCACATTCTCACACATTTTCTCATGTACATTCACACATACACACACATGGACATGCATGATACATCCATGCACACACACATTTTCTTATGGACATCCATACCACACTCACGCATGGACACACATGACACATTCATGCACATACACACACATTTTCACACATGTGCACGCATCTGCACTCATGATGCACACACTTATAACACTCATATATTAACACACACATTTTCTCACCCACACCACACACACATATCCATACACTCATACATGTGCACACTCAACACACACAGTCACACATTTGTTTTCTGACCCTCTCACATGGTCTCACTCATGCACTTGTACACTCAGCTTACACCTTAACACACACACACTAATACATGCCACTCATTCCCACTCACATGTTAAACTCACAACACCCATCTTCACACAGTCTCATGCATGTTTACACTAACGTATGTACTCATGCACACTGCATGCATGCACAGATACTCTCACACTCACACAATACATACACACCCACACACTCCTTGCACACGGAGGCACATGCAATACACTTTCACAATCATGTACTCCACACACACATTCACAAACACACACGTTCATGCACTCACACATACAAGGCCACACACATGCATGCACTCACACACATGTGCACTCACACACACAAGGACACACCTGCACATTCTGCAGAGCCAGGTTCTCCCTGCTGCTTCCCCCGTGGGCAGCAAACACAGGGTATTTCCCTGTCACCAGGCTGAAGATGTCCATGATGGCCCTCACGGCCGTGTCAATGCTGAGACCGAAGTGGTAGCTGCAAGGGAAATGGTGAGTGTGGAGGGGCGGCCTGTGGCCCAGGCAGGGACACCATTCCGAATGCCACCACGCTAAGCAGGTCAGGGCACAACTCAGGGACACAGAGTCCCAGGTCACTCTGGGATAAACAGTTACACACTCACTCAGTCACAGGCCAAGTCCCAGTGACACTGATCTTTGTCACAGTGGCCATCCACGCCCAGGGTTAGTGGCCACCTGCCCTACCTTCCAATCTGATGGGCCAACTCACTGGCCCTCATGCAGGACTCCTGGGAGGAGTTCCCACTGGCCATGTAGCAGGTGGTCAGCAGCCGTCCACAGAGCTCGCGGGGGTTCTGAGGGGTGTAGCTGGTCTGGTTCACGATGGCACGGACGTCAGCCAGCACCTGCTGATCTGAGAACCATGGCCATCCGCTGCGACACCTGCCACCGAATCCCCCTCCATCGGTGTCACCAGCTGGCAGCCTGCCCCCTGGGGGTCCTGAGACTGCCGGGAGCTGCCGGCAAGTTGACCCTGGCTCCTCTGACAACAGAACCAAACACTGCCCGGCCCTGCACCCGCCCTGCGCCTGCTCTCGGGCCGACCTCCCCGGTCCCTGCTCTCGGTCGGGACAGCCCCGGTCCCTGCTCGTGGTCCGAGCGCCCAGATCCCTGCTTTCACTGCCTCATTGTCAGCAGACAGTCAGGCCTGTGTCCCTGGCCCAGCCTGGAACCCACGAAACCCGTCCGCCATCACAGCAGCACGCCGGCCCTCCACCAAGCCGGCCGGCGGGGCATGTGAGCCGCACTGGCCGGGACTGAACCTGGGTACCCGACAGGGCACGAGCGCTGCATCCCTGCCACTGCCCCTGGAACAGCATCATCACTCGTCTCCTCGTGCACGTGTAAGGCCACCAGCGTCAGAGCACACAGCGGGAGGCTGTGAACCAAGCTCTGCCCGACCCCGAAGCCCGTGCTTCTTCCTCGCTGCACCACCCAAGGCGGGAGCAGCCAGCGGCCGTGGCCGGGTCAGCACAGCCCTGTGGCCTCGAACGGGCTGTCATCTCACAGCCTCACGCCTGCAGGCCCCGGGCACGGCCAGGACGTTACTACATCTGAGTGCGTCTGTAACACCTCCCTCACCTCCAGGGCCCACCGCTTGGGTGTCCTGGCTGCCCACAGCAGCTCCTCAGCCAGGGGCAGCCCCACCACAGCCTCCTTCAGGTCGACGAATCCACTTACTTCCGTCCCTGACGGCCTCGCACACCTGGCAGCACATGGAGAACACGATGCAGGCGGTGGCCGCGCTGTCCACCCCGCCGCTCAGGGGCAGGAAGAACCCCGCCTGCAACAGACCGACCAGAGGCAGGGTGAGCAGAGCCTCGGAGAGCTGCGTGTCCACCGCCTGTCCTGGTTCCCTGGTGCCGCTCCGACAGGACACACCACCAATGGGACACCTTGACAAACCCGAGTTTATTCTCACAATTTGGAGGCTTTATGTCTGAGTTCAAAGTGCCAGGCTCTGGGGGCTGGGTGAAAGCCCCTCAACCTTGGGGTCCAGCTCTGCCTCCTGCTCCCAGGGCACTGGAGCTAGAGGCTTCTCTTCACTCAGACAGCTGCTGGCTGCTGAGGCTGCCAAGCCCAAGGCTGACAAGTAAAAAGGCACAGTCCCATTGTGACCAAACCACGTGGCAGGCCATTAACTCAAAATCTATTGAAAGTCCCAAGGTCAGCAGTGCATGGCAGGCTGCTGAACAATGACACAGCTACATGCAGGATTCAAGCATGCCATAAGCTAGAGACCCTTCCCAAAGCTGTTTCTTATATACAGGAAGCAGACCACACACCCAAAGCAGCTACTCAGCTGCTTGTGGTAGGTCCCACCTTGGAGGTGATTGCCAGTTTCATCATGGGGAACAACTACCACCAGCTGCCCAGTCCTCAACCAGGCCCAAACCACACCCACTGCCTGGAGTCCATTCTGACCCACAGCGCCCCTAGAGGACAGAGTGGAACTGCCCACAGGGTCTCCAAGGCTGTCA